ATCATACAACACAACAACAACATCAAGCTTTTATCCCACTACGTGGGGTCGGCTACATGAATCCTTTTTCTCCATTGTGTCCTATTAAAACTCAAATTCTCGTTTAAATCTAAAAAAGAAAGGTCATTCATAATATTTTCTAACAAAGTCTTTTTAGGTCTACTCCTACCTTTCTTAACACAAGTCAAATCTAATACCTCTACTCTCCTAACCGGATCATCGGAAGGCTGCCTTTTTATGTGACCAAACCATCTAAGGCGACTCTCTCTAATCTTATCTTCTACTGGAGCTTATTGGATTACAAAAAGTATTTTCTAGACTTTATCATATTGGAGAACTAATTTGATAAGGCATAATCTGGATGTTATGCATATTGAGAGAACTTCCTTGATAACATTTTTAATACAATTATGGATGTTAAAGGTAAGAGTAAAGATAATGTCAAAGCAAGGATGAACATTAAAGAGTACTGCCGATGAAAAAATTTGGAGTTAGTAATAACCACCGACGACAAAATAATAAAGCCCAGAGCAGCTTACTCTTTTACGTTAGAGCAAAAAAGATAAATATGTCAGTGATTTAAAGGTTTAAAAATGCATGATGGTTATGGATCAAACATAAGTCGATGTGTTGACTTGAAATCTGCGAGATTATTTGGACTAAAAAGTCATGATTATCACATAATTATGGAGGTTCTTCTTCCGATCATAGTATGTATGTTACCAGATTACATATCAAATCCGTTGATTGAGCTTAACAATTTCTTCAAAGACCTATGTTCATCTAAACTACGCGAAGATGCTTTACGCAGGAGCGAGGAGAACATACCAATCATCATATGCAAGTTAGAAAAAATTTCTCCCGGTATTTTTTGATTCTATGGAACACCTTCCAGTCCATCTACCTTACGAAGCTAGAGATGGTAGACCTGTATAATATCATTGGATGTATCCTGCAAAAGGTAAAACATATTTTTATCAAGTCTCAATATTTTTGAATAAGTTGAGAACATATATTTATTAACTTAATAATTGTAATTGTTTAATAAATATTTGAACAAGTTGAAGAAGTATGCTAAGAATAAAACACGACCAGAAGGATCGATATGTGATGGATATTTGTCTCAAGAAACAACTCACTTCTGCTCCTACTACTTCGAGCTCCATGTAAGGAGTACAAGAACAAAGATTGGTCGTAACATGGACTTTGATGTAAAAGAACAATCTTAGGCTGCATTATTAGTATTTAGAAGTCATGGAAAACCTAGTGACAAATGTGTTGAAAGATTTCTCAACGATTTAGACTCGAAACAACGAATTTATATATGCTACTGAATTGTGAAGAAATTGAACAAATCTTAGAGTAAGTTCTTCCATAATGTGCATAATGAATAATGTTTATTTAAAATACTAAATTACTATTTGGATGATTTATCACCAGGTATTTTGTAAACAATTTGCCTCTGACAGATTTTACGGATATCGAGCAAGTTGCAAATGAATTCCCAGCTTGGTTTAGATCTTATGTGAGCTCATAAATTTTAAAATTATTATTTGAATTACATCTTATTTAATATAAAAATACTAATATTTAAAATATTTTTAGGTACATAAGCCTGATAATAATTGTTTCGATAAATGTTTGCAAGCACTAGTATGGGGTCCAATGCGAAAAGTAAAGACCTGGCCATATATATAGTGAATGGGTTCAGATTTCATACTAAGCCATGGAGTGAAGGAAGAAAAATAGAAAATTGTGGAGTATGTGTTAGAGGGAATACTCATGAAGAAGATGAGTGTGATTATTACGGTATTCTGAATGAGGTTCTTGACCTGGAGTACCTAGGCGAAGATGAGAACTTTATAATCTTATTTAACTATCAATGGTATGATCCAGTACAAAATAGAGGCACAAGGGTTCATCTTGCATATGGTTTAGTAGATGTAAAACATAGTAGAAGATACGAAAAGTTTTATCCATTTGTGTTAACAAGTAAAACTGTTCAAGTTTATTTTAGCAAATATCCTAGTGGTCGTAGGGATAAACAAGATTAGCTTGCTGTCATAAAAACAAAAGCACGGAGGATAATTGATCAACAATATGTTGTAACAACTGCACCAAAGGGAGTATTTGTCTTGAGATTTTTAGAAATCCTTACCTCTTTTCTTCCATGATGCCTCTTTGGCTATCACCATTGCTAAACCTTCAGCAATCTTTGGTTCCAGTATTACGCCTTGTCGGCTTCCCTTGACACGAATGAGAGAAATGGTCTCATTTAGTGAGGGTATCTCATCTTTGCTAAGGATCTAAACTCTAACTTGGTCATACTCTGTTTTTAATCCTACAAGAAAGTCATAACACTCTATCTTTCTAAATAAAGCTTTTTGGGATAGCCATATCTTTTGGAGACTTGGTCTCTTTGCATCTATAGTGATCAAGTTCTTGCAACGAGCTTTGAAGGAGAGTGGCATATTCAGTCATGGTCTTGCTTCCTTTTTTTGTGCTTCACACCTTGACTTTAATTTCGAAGATATGTGCAGCATCCTGAGTTTTTGAGAAGATTTTCCTGGCGGCATCTCATGTCTTTTGTAGTAGATAGGAATATGAAAGTATCGCTAATTTCTGGAGTCATGAAATTCCACAATCATAGCATGATCATGGAGTCTGCTTCATCCAATGCCCAAAAAATTAGAATCTTCTTTTTTTGGTCCTACCCTATGGAGGTTATTCATCTTTCCGTTTCCTTTCAAATATGGCTTCACAAATTGAGACCACTTTAAATATTTCTTCCCATTCAAGCGACAAGGAATGTTGCATATTTTGGAGATCTCTTCCTTGGTACACCATATAGTCCTCCATTTGGTCAAAGCTTTGGGAGGAATTTGTTTTAGACATTGCGGTAGCAAAGGGCAGTGATGAAGGATATATCAAGCAGGGCAGAAATGAAGGCTGCGTTGGTTATTGATAGGATAACAACAATAAGGGAAGACTGACAGTGAAGGAATGACAATACAAAAAATTTAGAATTCCGATAACGACAATGAAGGATCTGATACAATGTTAAATTTAGAAAATTGGAGAGGGAAAAACTTAAATTTATTGCACAAACGTTTTCCTATTTATAGATATATACTAGACATCTTAATAAAGAAATAAATAATTACAGAATAATGCATAATTGCTCTAATATAATCCTTCCTAGATCAGCCATCTAAATATGGAAGGAGATCAGTGTGATCCAAGTGAGCCTCCAACGGATTCTCGTCTTAGCCGCGGGATCAAAATGCCAAGGGAGGGCTAGGATTTAATAGGTGAGCCTCCCATGGATTCCTATCCTAGCCGTGGGAGCAAAATGCCAAGGGACGGCTGGGATTTAACACAAATAATGCAGAAGAAATGAGAACCGTAAAATAATTCAGTTAGCAGTGAAAACTAGGTTTCATTCTGGTATGAAGAGATGCTTCCCTCAAAAATTCATAATCACTTTTCTAAAGCATTCGAATAAATCAATATGCAACTTAGCTCACAAAAGTGAATAGAAAAGTGGAATTTCATCAAGCCAAAAAATTACTTAAACACCTCAATTTTGAATATAAACATTTATCCTTAAATCGATTGCCTCTTATTTTTCTAAATCGGCGCCTCTTATTGTTTCAGTTCAAATACCAAACATATGTGTATCACGGTACAGTAGCATAATAGAATTGCCTAAGGATAAGTTGAGGAAGCACCAAAACAGAACACAATCCCTTGAATAGCACTAGAAATCCAACGCAATAATCGTTCCCTCCATAGGAGAGCACTTATTCTAGGAGCCTAAAGTTGTGGCACAGCTGAAGCTGGTTAACATTGATAATTGCTATGTGATTGATACCTATGATGCACAGATACGGATACGGCGACATGGACACGACACGACATGACACGGGACACGTCAATTATTGAAAATATAGGACATGGACACGGGTTGTACACGGTATTATAATTTTTATATTTTAAAAATAGTGTATAAAAATTAAATAAGTATAATTTTAAAAATAATTTAGAAATAATCACTTAACTATAATTTGTACTTAAATTGATTAATATTAGGATATCAAGAGTCGGACGTCGATGTCATTTATCAGTAATCGAGAGAGGAGATGAAAATACCTTTACTGCCAAAGTGAAATGAAAAGGAGAATATTCGATGAATGGGGTATTAAGTGCAGACGATTGATTTGATGTTGTGGATAGGAAATAAGAAATTTAGTTTTTATATTTTAAATAAGTAAAAAAATTTAAATACAAGAAATTATTTTTTTAAAAAAATTCATAAAATATTTAAGATATGCGTGTCAGACATGCGTGTCCAATTTGTATTTAATATTTTTTTTAATCGGACACGTTTTCGTCGTGTCCGACACTTGTCGGAGGAGTGTCGGACGCGTGTCATGTCGGATACTGCATGCCTCTTTGAGAAGAAGTGTCGGTGCATCATAGATTGATACTCAAATAACTCCGAAACAAATAATTCTAAATCCATTAGTTAAACCAACATTAGAACTTGATGAAACTAATCACTTAAATTGAACCAGACTAGTGGTCAATCAGATCAGAAATAAAAAAAGGAATTGGTTCTCATAAGCACATTATCTCAGACATTTAAATAAGTAGATTGATATTAAAAGTACTGAATAAAACTATGAAATGAAACTGAACCTAAGCATTGTTCAACTCATTTATTTGCTCGATGTTTTGAGGGATTTAGGTTCAGTTCTCCGTCATTATGGCTTTGATTCTTTTTCTTTTTTTAAGTCAGATTAATGCGCGGAACATTTCTTCAGCATGGATAATGTATTGACAATGCCTATGTATGCGTGAAATATCTTAAAAATTCCAAACTCTCTCTTCTTAAATTGTTAGCGCTAAAGAAAATTATTAAGTTTTAACAATTAATAAGCTTTAGAAATGCTCTTTATTTGTGTTTTTTTTCTTGATATCATTTTCTTCTCTTTTAGGCATGCACTTATTAGTTTATATGGCGCTATTGTCCTTTGCTTGATTCTTGCTGGCCAATTGAAAGAAAGGAAAATCATATTAATTTTAACAGGTAAACTTATATGCATTAAACTTGTTTTGCTTATTGGATTATCAAGCTTAGTACTTTAACTTCTTTTTAACTATGTTACTCCCTTTTCAGTTTATTATGGCATTGATAAATCATTCTACAGTTTGTTTCCACATGTCGTTCAGGTAAATAAATATTTCTCTCCACGACTTCTATTTTACAAAATGACATCCATGTAGCACCTGTTGATTCCGTGCTCCCTTTCTGAAGTCTCAAGCTTGCTAAATTGCAGTGGCTATTAAGTGCCCATAACACACAGATGCTTCTAATTGTGTTCCTAACTGTGGTTTCCCTACTCCTGGCTGGTTTTTGTGTATACCATGCTCAACTTTGCCTCACAAACACGACGACAAATGAGGTATTGTATGAGTTGTTATTCCTGATTGGTTCCATGTTGAACAACTTAGGCTTCGTTTGTGACGACTTTTTTATTTCTTCTTAAAGCAGCTTTCTAATACAAAATTTTTAAGGGAGATTTACATACATATCACTTTATTTCATGCTATTTGCATATCTAACACCCAAAACATCAATATTATATGTCTACTACCCATAGAATAAATTTTGGTGCATGAAATGAAATATTAAAGTTTATAGGATGGTATGAATGGTAGAAAAGAATTATAGGAGTGATATATTTGATATTAAAGTTTTATATGGGTGGTATACATGTAATATTAATGTTTTGGGTGTTTTGTAATTTTGTATTAAAAAACTGCTTTAAGAAGCAATAAAAAAGTCGTCCCAAATGAAGCCTTAGATTCTCATTAATAATTGATTACCTATACGGATGGAAATAAACAGACATTTAAGTGGCAAGAGTATTTGGACTGGAGGAGGAAACTGAATGAAGCCAAAGCAAGTGCTGCAGCATTGAAGACCGCTCTACATACTGTGAATGGAGAAGTTAAGGCCCCTGAGAGCAAATGCAGGCAATTCTTTAATAAATCGCCCTTACAGAGTGAAATCGCAGTTAATAAGAATAATGTCTATGACAAAGGAATGCTTAGAAATGCCCTTGAGATCCTGGTTCCTATATCAGAGAGGCAGTCATTTTTTCATAGGAAAACCTTTTAGCAACTAAACCGAGCTCTACCTTCTGTTATTTAAAGTTTTATACCATGAGTATGCTTCTGCTCTTCATCTACTTTGATACTGAGCTCATAGATTACCACTGCAAGTAATTAGCATGGGAGTGCCTGTTTTCACAGTTTCTTAATTGGACATTCTTAGACAATTGAAACAAAAGCTTGTTTGGGTTGATGATTTGAGTTTATTTCATAGCCTTGGAACAGTTTGTAGTATTTAAGCATTCCCTTATTAAAGTTTCTTAATTAGAGGAACTTCATATTTTAGTAGTACATGCTTTTTTTGTGTTCAATCCCATTCTTTAATGTGAAAGAAGGATAGTTGTGTAATGACAAAGAAAGGTAATATGAATAAGAAGTCATGATTGTCACATTTTTCATTTTTGTTCATTAATTATTTTCCCAATCACATTTGAACTCTTGTCAAAAGAAGCTTGCGAGCACTTGAATTACTAAAATTAAATTGGACAATGTATTATTCAAAATAGTCAATAGGCTTTTTGTTAGGGCAAAGGTCTAATAAGAGCTTACTTTGAGTGGGGTGAGGCATAGTAGTAGGGGTATTAGTAGATGTGGCTCTAGAAAGGATAATGGGGAAAATGTTGTGAGAGGTTGTAACATAAAGGCACTCTTGTTCAAATGGCATTGAATGATTGTGTTAGTGGTCTAATAGGAGCTTACTTTGAGTGGGGTGAGGTATGGTAGTAGGGGTATTACAGCAATTTCCGAATAATTGTGAATAAATAGGTTTCATATGTGATTGTTAATTCCACGTTTAAAGTCCTTGAGGATGTTTTGAGTTTTGATGCTGCTAATGTAATGCTTGTAGAATAAAATAATCAGCATGTAGTGTGATGAAGTATCTAAAATGCAATAATAATGTAATGGAGTGACTTGTGCGTTGACCTCTTTAAAATATATATATACACACACCTGCACAAATAATGCTCAAATCTCGTATGCTACAATGCCCATTCGTTGTACATTCGGTGCCATTTCTGAATACGCGACAATCACCCATCCTGGGCATCGATCTCACTCTCGTTCGCATCACAAGAGGAAGAGTGGAGGAAGCGTTTAGTTCCGTTGTGCAAGAAGCTCCCGCACTCCCTGCCTTCTCACCGCAACTCTGGATCTCAACTCCAACTCGTATGTCTGAATCTGAAACACATCTGATCTCTATCCTTCTTCCTTGTTTGAAATCCCCTACACACCTCTTCTATCCACTATATCTACCCTACTCATGCCTCTGGTTCGGAGATCCAATTTCGATGCCAACACTCAGTCAGTCTCTACCTTACTCGATCGATCCCTACACTTGTCCACACCTGCAGCAAGATCCAAAACCACAACAAGTATCCTTCATCCACATCTCTGTTATGATTTAGCTCCACCAAACCTTCGATCTTTTCAACCAATATGACATTCGTCATTACTACCCATGCTCGACGCCCAGTCAAACCACATATTAAAGCCGCAATCTCCTTCTGATTTCTTCGTTATTCTCGACGACTAGCCATCTTGACCTCCACCAAGGTCATTTGAACCCAACGCCACCTCTCGATTGTAGCTCTACTCAATGCTTCGACCACAAGCTCCCAACTATCCCCATCTCCAGTCGTAGATCCAACCACTTCCTATATCGATCCCGACCCACACCCCAAGATGACCCCTAACACTTCTCCATCCGACCTTCCATCCAGATCTGACCTCATCACACAAACTCACTACCAACTTCAATCACGGCTGAAGTCGAGCTCCCCTCTTCACACAAACAGGCCAAACAACTGCTGATAATGATGGCAACAATCAACAATAGGAAATAGATGCTACAACCATGTTGCAGTCGATAATAAGTTAATAGCTGGGAAGTACATTGATATACTGCAAGCAGAGACAGATGACATGAAGCAAAAGGCAAGAGCCTACAAGTGGTTATAAAAGACCCGTCATACACCTAACATGTTATCCATAAGCAAAACTACAAAATGACTACAACAAATATAAATGACCTTCATCAAATGTAAAAACTCACGAGCTACTACTTGAAATTTATTAGTGCACAACAGTTTACCTTTATAAAGTAGCAAATGATCCATAGCCTAACATTATGGTTCACCTGTAAGCAAAAGCAGGGAATCAATAGTAAAAAGCTATGGGTCACTAATAGAATGAAGGGAGATTTACATACATACCACTTAATACTATGCTATTTACATATTTAACACCTAAAATTTTAATATTACATACATACCACCCATAGTTCATTTTCATACCAAATATGAGTGGTAGAAATGAAATATATGAGTGGTAGGAAAGAAATGTAAGTGGTATATTTGATATTAAAATAATATATGGTGATATTCATGTAATATTAAAGTTTTAGGTGTTAGATATGTAAATAGGATGTTATAAAGTGGTATGTATGTAAATTTCCCTAGAATGAAATAGTAAATTTACAGTGCCAAGATGTCACACAAGATAAATTATCTTGATTGCAAACGACATGTGGAAGAGTCCTGATGCGACGTACAGTTCATTTGCAAGATGAAGTACGCTCATGCAGGCTAAGCATTGTAGAAAACAATAGTATGCAGAAGAAAAAAATGATAAAAATCGTACTGCCGAAGTCTCATAAATGAGGCCTAACATCCTGTAAGATAATGCCACTGGATCTGCAACATGCATATAGGTTGATAGAAGATATTTATAAATTACCAAGTGGAGCCTCGTGTATTTCTCAACAATAACTCTTTTGCAAGAAGTAGCAAATAACCAAAGTGCAATGCCATGCCATCGGATTTGCAACATGTATATAAGAGGATATAAGTCATCTACCAACTCAAAAACCAAAACAACACATACTTGTCAACAGGGGTCATTTGCATAGTTGATCACTACAAAAACACCCCCCCTTATGAATTAAAATATGATTACCCACCTGAGCCCAGACAAGCATGATGCGTATGCACACATGACATTTGAGGATGCTACACTGGACAAAAAATTAACCTAAGTTTGAGCCCAATCTTTATATGTGAATAGATATGAGTCGACACAGCTTGAGCTATCAATTAAATGCACGGTCGCATTATCGACCAGGATATTCATTTTTATACTTTCATATTAAGCCTTTAAGGTTTGTTATAAGAAAATTCACTAATGTAGGCATAAAGCCAATTACAAATCTGATCATTTGTCGATAAGTATACATAGTCGACAAGGTTTAACCAAAAAAATGAAATTGCCTATAAACCTCGATGATGACCGTGTTGAAAGAAAAATCTCAACTAGGGCGACTCTAAATATTCAAAATGCCTCCAAATTCCCATAAAATATACTAATGATGCAAAAATTTAAAATTAAAATAAATAATCAAAATACTTAAAGAAAAAAATATCTGCCCACTCTCCGTAATAGTTTGCCAAGGTGGACAATTTTAAAATCACTTCTGCTTACGAAGAGCATGTGTCTTTTCGGGAATATCATTAGGATTCATTCTTGATTTGTCTCTTTCCAGTAAAGACATGACATGTGTCTTTTAACTGGTGTTTTCATAATTAAATGGCACAACATGTAAATGATTATGATCAGGACCTCTCATCAGGTGATTTATTGCCAAATGATGCTATTAAATTATGGTCATGGCCAGAGCTTACATATTCCCTAATGACGTTAAATCATTGGTCAATGAATCAATAGAATATGACTAATAGGGCACAAAGTCCTCTATTAGCTAAGAAGGATTCTAATTTTTCCCCTTAGGTAAATATTTTTCCTAGGTCTACAAGATAACCTTGGACGAAGCAATCTATAGCTACCGATAAGGATCATTCTATCAGGTTAGGTCGACTTCCTCCTTTGACTAAGTAGACCAGGGACCATGATGACCTAGGACGACCATGATGTCCAACTATGGTGAGGAGCTAGCATCCAGTTAGCTAATAATGTCATTAATATAGGGAATGCTGGGGCTATTATCTAGTTCAGTGGAATGAAGTTCTTCACAGCTACTATAAAGGCTGTTAACATCCTAATGTATGGCATGGATTTCGAAGGGCAACCAAAAGATCCCATCTTTTGGAACTACTATACATCGCATGTATCTACTAGTTCAACGACTTACAACTGTTGAAAATCCTCCTCACTGGAGATTTATGTTTTGGAGAGGTTGTCTCAGTAGGAAACCCCAGCTATGAAGGGGGTTGTAGTTGGTGGAAGAATTTTTGTGGTGACTTTAACACCACCGCTAAGGAAGCTTGTTACACTTGGAAGGCATGATACTAAAGCTTCCTGATATGGAGGAAAGCTTAAGAGGAGGCAAAGGAGGAAGAAGAATGCATATATTTGGCTCAATAACCTTTACCTGTCCAACCCTCAACACTGCTAGCATAAGAGCTAGAAACGTGTGTTTCCGCCTGAAATAGATTTTCAGATCTAAGATTAATAAAGGGGAGCAATTCTACTGGTGAGTTGAAGAAATATTTTTGGGTGCAGCAGCAAAAAGCCCAATTCACTATAGAAAGGGACCTAAAATCGTATCTAACAAATTATATATGGTACTATAAGTGCTGAAAGGGAAGGGATTAATGAAGAGATCCAACAACTGCTGTGATAGGGGCAAAGAGATAAAGGCTACCACCTATTATGGTAGCAAGAAGAGAGAGAAGACAAGCTCCACCCGAAGAGTGTCAGGGTGTGACACATGAACTACTTATTCAGGGATCCATCGCCAAAAGGTCCCGATGGAAAGGCAAAGAGATCTAAAGGCCAATGCCTTATAAAGAAGAAGTAAAGGAAAGAAGAATAATCTAGAGTGTGACATCTGGTGCAGCTTTCCAAAGATCAACCCCTTCTAATAGAAATCATTAGAAATGGGCCCTGAAGAAGGTCCTAATTGATGACTGGACTAATGATCAACACCTTAGAGAATCCTCTAGGGGATCCTGTCATTCATCGATTCCATCCAAGGAGGAGGTCAACTTTGATCGTAGATCACAGAATGAAGAAATATTCTTATA